AATTGATCTTGGTGAAATCTAGGGGGTATCTTTGAACGTAATTTACACGTTCATTCCTCAATTTCCCACCCCTGAGACCTAATTACCGGCCCGGCAAAAATAATTATCTGTCGATTGACCCTACAATTATATTTTTTGACGACCTACAGGGGCTGGCATTTCGTTACCCGTAAAAAGCGTTTTATCTAGGGAATTTCCTAGGGACATGTCGGGCAAAAATCCCTCCACCCGGGCCTTAAATTATTAACAATCGATTAGAATTGTTAAAGGGTAAGTCACAAATATTAAATGGCTTGACGCTCTTTCATTGGCTTACAAGCACGGGCCCCATCGTAGTTCATGCGCCGCCGCTACGGACACGTGCGGATGGATTCCGTAAGCGCAGACAATTTCCTCTAACTTACTAGTTTTATTCCTTAGAACAGCCCACCCAAACAGCGCTAGGCAATAGTAACGCTCTCGAAATAAAACTCTTGAAAATGTGAATTCGTATCCGTTGCTATGGAGTTATTTTTATAATAATATAATAAGTGAAAAAAGTAAAAATCTCATCAGAAAAATCAACCGCGATTTATATAATGTATCTAAGGATACTGTTGCAAAATAGCGTGCGTTAAAGGGGAAAAAAGCAATTGAAGTTTTTTTCAGGGGTTAGGGGCGAGTTGTTAGCTGTAATATAATACACGACAGCTCTCCGCCTGTGACGTCACCTCCGCCTGTGACGTCAACTTGGCAGATACGCTATCGCGTATCTTGATTGATCACCCTGGTAAAACTTTTAAATATTTGAGTCTTTTTCATTTTTATTTTCTCATGTTCTCAACTACAATTTGTGATTTACATTCTGTGACTTGGAAGTGCGTGATACATATACAGATTATTTTCCTGTTCTTAAAAGATTAAAAAAGCGGAAGATCTATCGCATGTAGAATAAAGATTTTGATAATTTCGATTCTTACCTGTGTCATTTATTCAATTATCTTCCTCAATTATTCTTTACAGATTCTGCAGAAGTTCAAACTGGAATATCATCATCGGGATTTGGATTATCATATTAATCCTCTCTATACACCCAAAGGCCCATTGAAAATTAAATTCATAGCGAGATAAGAATAAACATGTAGAATAAGATACACACGAAAATTTGACATTTTTAAAATAGATTTATTGAATGTATGAAAATTATATAACATTTTTTTAATAAATATCCGTTACAATTTCAATTCACATATTTCTGGACGGTATTTGAACTGTATCTTATACATTTTCCTATATCATACATGAAACTGTGAATCACCCGATAATCTATACGGAACGAGTTATTTAGTTAATTTTACGATTTTTAAATCGTGAAATTGCATGGGTAGAATTAGAACGGTGGACCATAATGAAGGATTTGGCCATTTTACGATGGTCAATCTTAATTTGAAAGTAAAAAAAAATAGCTCCAAATCAATTCCTTTTTTTTTATTACATTGATGAAGGAATTTTCCAATTGCGTTGGAAGAAAAATCAAGTCAATTCCAGAGAATTGTGCTATCATGGAATATTAAAAATGCAAATTCCGTTCCAAAAAAACCTAAAAATGTCGAAAACATATGCGAGCATTCGACGCGATAAATTCCAATTTTACATTGTAAAAATAATGAGTCGATAATGAAGGAAATCTCTTCTTTTTTTTAAAACCCAACTGTGACGGGGCACTGTGCATTTGGAAGAAATATAATTTTTTTATTAACTTTTCAAACTTTTTTCTTCATAAATATTGAGGTGGTAATTTGGTGGAATTTAGGAGAACATAATTATAATTTGGGAGTCATTAGTTGTTGTTTAATAGATTTTTCCTTTTTTAATATTTTTAATAATAATGAGCAGAAGTTATGATGAAACAATTCAAAAATAATTACAACCGATGGAGAATAATTTGGTGGTCATTATAATCAAGGTTTCATAATTTAGGAGTAAATGGTTTTATTAATAAAAAATAAAAACGTACTTTTTTTGCGTACACTATATAGTAAGGACACTTGCGCATGCGTAGTAGGCTTAAGGTAGGAGGAATTGATTTCATACTTATATTATTATTGGTTTTTCCAATTTTTTTCTTAATAAATATTTACCCTGGGGAGTAAGGTGCCCCGTATTTACAGGGCAGTTACGGGGCAGTTACGGGGCAGACATGGGGCAGCTATTTACGGGTTTAAAAGGCATAAAAGTTATTAAAAAACAATGTAAGCGTGTATAAATTAATTAAAAGGTGATATTTGCAATGTTAATTTCAT